CAATGTAGCCGCCGTGCAGGGGCGGGCCCTCCGCCGAGCCGGCGGGGCTGAAGGTGCCGGGGAAGCTGGTGGGCCCAGAGGGCTGGTAGATGACCCCGCCGGCCGCCGGCATCGCCTGGAGCTGCTCAGGGAAGCAATCCTTAGACCGCGCTCCAAGGGAGCGCGCGGGAGGGCTCCGGCCCCGCAGCCGTACCTGGGCGTAGGGCAGCGAGAAGGCTGGCATCTGGGCGCGCATCTGGATGGTCTGCTTCTGCTGCTCCAGGCGCAGCTGCCTCTCCTTCTCCTGCTCCTGCAGCCGCTGGATGGCCAGCTGCCGCTGCATCTCCAGGTACTCCTGCCGGAGCGGCGCGGAGTGAGCGCTCCGGCACGGCCGTGTCCCCTGCCGCCCGCGCAGCCCGTCCTTGCCAAGGCTGGGCTGGCAGGGCCTGCTGCCCGCGCGGCCCTGGATGCCCAGAAAACGCTTCCCTGCCTCACCTGCTTCTTCTGGCGCATGATCTCCAGCTTCTGGGCCAGCTGGATCTGGCGCTGGCGCTCTGCCTCCTCTGCGGCACGGCGCAGCTTCTCCCGGTGCTCCTCGCGCAGCGCGTTCAGAGCCCCCCGCGCGTCCCGGATTTGGGCCAGCTTGTCCTGCAGGCCCTCGTAGTACACTGGGGAGGAGAACAGCGTCAGCGCCCTGGCGCTAAGTGCTGGCCATCCCTGCACACCGCAGTGGCTTCTCCCCAGACAGGCTGGCCTGGGAATGCCAAACACCGGCTCTGCGGGAGCCCCAGCACCATCCGCTCCCCCAGGTGCTGTTCCCGAGCCCAGGACAGGGTAACGTTTGCCAGCTGCCACGTACGCCTGCGCTCGTCCAGCTGGTTGAGCAGCTCCAGCAGCTGGGGGTGCATGTTGTTAATGGACTGAAAGAGGGAGAGGACTGCAGAGTCGTTGGTGATGCTGCGGCCGCGCATGTGGTTGCTCTTCATGCGGTTGACGAAGGTGGTGACCGCGTTCTGCAGGGCCTTCAGGAACTGCTCGTGGTTCTCTTCGGACTCGCCGTTCTGGTACTGCTGCTGGAACGACAGGGCAGCCGGTCGGGCCCAGCTCCGTGGGGCTGCGTGACGGGGCTGAACGGAGCAGGCAGCGCCCGGGCGCAGGCTCCCCGTTACCTCAACCACGCTGAGCGGGGCAGCGTGGGCCTCCCCGGGCTGGGCCGCGGGCTCGGTAAGGGACAGCGGGGCCGACGGCGTGGGGCTCTTGCGAACCTCCTCCTGCTTCTTTTCCCAGTAGTTGCGGTTCAGGTAGGGAGCCAGCTGCCACAAAAGGGACCACAGATGATGAGTGCCACAGCCCAGCTGGGTGCAAGCGGGTGCCGTGGACTAGCAGCACCCGGATCCTCACCTCAGGGTCAATGTCCTCAGCCAGCGGCGCAGATGAATTCTGCAAAGAGACAAACATGGGGAAAAGATCAAGTCCAAGCAAACTCAGAACTGCCACCCAGATCTGTTCAGAGGTGGGCACGCAGTCACAAGGCCTGGGCAGCAGCGGGACAGAAGGAAAGGGGATGGCAGCGCCTGCAGCCAGACACACGCTGGGGCTGCTAGAGGTGGTAACTGAGCCAGCT